ATGAGTCTTGTTATAAATGCAAACATCTGACAGAACGTGAAATATGTCGTCCTTTAGGCTGAAGTGCAATCGTGTGGGCATCGCTAGATAGTGTTTTTCGTTCAATTTAACAATGTAAAAAGTTACGAAAAGCCGCTGGAGAGCAAAATCACTTCTTTGAGGACAAACAACACAGAAAGGCTGTCATTGTCAAAAATCAATAGTTGATAATAGCATCTAAACGCGCTGCACTCACAAGATAACAGATAAATAAACCAGAATGATTCTGCACAGATCTCAGTAATCACAGCCTAATAAATACCACAACGTCCACACTCTGTCTGAGCCACTGTGTGTTCAGAGTGAGATGCTTTTGAGCTTTTTGCAAAGAATAAAGGGGAATATAACCAACGATTTTAGATGTTTTTTTTATAGATCATTTGGATAAAACGACAGCCTTACTGAGTGTTTAGCAAACGTTTTGACTTGACGTGAGCATTTCCAATTACTGTGTGACCACTCATGAGAGATTATAACGTTAATGAGCAAGATTAAACAGTTTTTATTAACATGTCAGTTTGTTTTACAGGACTGCAGCTCAGCATACTTCATGAAGTTGATGTGTATTCTTGCATGAATATTGCAATTTCTTTGAAGTAATATAGTTAAACTTTCTTATTGTAATACACTTTGGATAAAATAAAGGAAAAAAGGATGTCAAAGTATCAAAGAAGTACAAAAAAAAACCTTGATAATCCGCTAAAAATACCGATTTTTCGCTGGTATAATCTACTGACCACGAGTTGGGACTATTTAATCAAACTATTTCCAAGGAAGGGTTTTGACTTTGACGTTAACTGCAACTCTTACGCCTAAATGCAAAACTGCTCAAGGAGGAATTTGTATCTTCTGCTAAGCCCCTTTCTTCTTGAGGTGCAGCTTCATCATAATTGATGGAGGTGAAGGTCAAACATTGGAAAAAAGACTGAAGTTGCATTAAAACTAGCAAACACATTTTGTTTCTGGAAGGTTTCGGCACGTTTGACCCCTAAGCTGCATACATCTTTTCTACCTGTGACCATAGAGGCCTGCACACACACTATACATTATATATAACGTCTGTGTACCGACTATTATTCCCTGCAGCGGTTGAAAACTCACCTGTGGGGGAAATATAGCAACAACTCTACAGAGAGGAGGAGAGAGGTGATGAAATAAATTGAGACAAACTTGGAAAAGAAGCAGACAGAGAGAAGTGAGGGAAAGAGAGGCAGAGTTCAGTCTCATTAATACGTGATTGCAACACGTCGATAACTCAGAGAAGAAGCCCTCAATGCTCTCTATCCCCCCCCCCAGGAGCAGAGAGTATGTTGACAGAATAAGAATAAGGCATCGTCCTTGTGTTTCTACTCTGTAAGGGCAATGTTTTTTAAATATTTTCCTCACTTCGGATTCGAACGCTTTGTGCCATTGGAAAAATCTTTCTGTTTTGATCCCACCAGTTTGCCCTCTCTGATCCTACAAGCTTTGGGGAGGGGGGGGGTAAATCATACTCTTCTTCCACGAGGGGATATCTGAAGAGTTTCCTGTACGAGATGCTCGCCCTTTGAGAGAAATGTGCCGCCCACTTGAGCCTGCAGGTGCACTAAGAACGTAAAGCGAACCATAAACAGGATGAATCATGTTCTGACCTTTTGCTCCTGCACTGTTTCTAGTCTGAGGATGTGTTTCAAAGTGATAATGTGATGATTTTAAAGTTTTAGAAGGACATTATCAGCATTACAAATGTGTTTATTATGAGCTTCAGGAGGAGCTGGAGTTATGTGTGTTTACATTATATGCTGGTTTATAGTAGCTTGTGTGGACCCACATCTGGCAGCACACTCGCATTGTGAGGACTCGTTTCCAATGGAGAGCAAAAAAGGTGAAATACAAAACTTTATCGGTTTATTTTGAGGTTTTTAAAGATAAGATATATAGGTAATTATGAGGGGCCGTGTAGGCCAAAATTCAAACTCACCTCGCGCACACACTACTGAAAACATCTGGCCTTGCACACACACTACTGAAATACTCTCACATTCACTACTGAACACCTCACACACACACAACTGAAAAGTAAACCTCACACACATACTACTAAAAATGAACCTCGTACACACGCAACTGAAAATTAACCTCACACAAACACTACTGAAAACCTCACACACACACAACTGAAAACCTCACACACACACAACTGAAAACCTCACACGCACACAACTGAAAACATCTGGTACATTTTCAGTTGCGTGTGAGGTACATTTTTAGTAGTATGTGTGTGAGGTTTAATTTTCAGTTGTGTGTGTGTGAGGTGTTCAGTAGTGAATGTGAGAGTATTTCAGTAGTGTTTGTGCAAGGCCAGATGTTTTCAGTAGTGTGTGTGCGAGGTGAGTTTGAATTTTGGCCTACGCGGCCCTTCATACGTTATTGATCCCAGCATGTAAACAACGCATTGTTCATCTTCCACGAAGGGATATCTGAAGAGTTTCCAGTACGAGATGCTCGCCCTTTTAGAATAAATGTGCCGCCCACATGAGCCTGAAGGTGCATTTGGTTGATGTCTGGAGCGTAAAGCACGCCATAAACATAATGAGTCATGTACTGACCTTTGCTCCTGCACTGTTTCTAGTCTGAGGATGTGTTTCAAAGTGATATTGTGATGAATTTAAAGTTTTAGAAGGACGTTATAATGTTTTTCTTAATTGTATTCATCTGTTTGGCCAACTGACAGCTGGCATGTCCTTAAGTTCTTCTCTATTAAAGGGCAAAGAGGGTTTTATAAGGACATTATAAGCATTTAAAATGGGTTTATTATTAGCTTCAGGAGGAGCTGGAGTTGTGTGTGTGTGTACAGAATATGCTGGTTTATAGTAGCTTGTGTGGACCCACATCTGGAAACACACCCGCATTGTGAGGACTCGCCTCAATTGGAAGCGAAAAAGGTGAAATGCTAAACTTTTTGGGTTTATTTTGAGGTATGTAAAGATAAGATATACATTATTGATCCCAGCATGTAAACAAGGCATTGCTCATCTTCCACGCGGGGATATCTGAAGAGTTTCCAGTACGAGATGCTCGCCCTTTTAGAGAAATGTGCCGCCCACTTGAGCCTGCAGGTGCCTTTGGTTGATGTCTGGAACGTAAAGCGCGCCATAAACAGGATGAGTCATGTACTGACCTTTGCTCCTGCACTGTTTCTAGTCTGAGGATGTGTTTCAAAGTGATATTGTGATGAATTTAAAGTTTTAGAAGGACGTTATAATGTTTTTCTTAATTGTATTCAACTGTTTGGCAATCTGACAGCTGGCATGTCCTTAAGTTCTTCTCTATTAAAGGGCAAAGAGGGTTTAAAAAGGACATTATAAGCATTACAAATTGGTTTATTATTAGCTTCAGGAGGAGCTGGAGTTGTGTGTGTACAGAATATGCTGGTTTATAGTAGCTTGTGTGGACCCACATCTCGCATTGTGAGGACTCGCCCTCATTGGAGAGCAACAAGGTGACATGCAACATTTTTTCTGTTTATTTTGAGGTTTTTAAAGATAATATATACGTTATTGATGCCAGCATGTAAACAAGGCATCGTTCATCTACCACGCGGGGATATCTGAAGAGTTTCCAGTACGAGATGCTCGCCCTTTTAGAAGAAATGTTCCGCCCACTTGAGCCTGAAGGTTTGTTAAGAACGTAAAGCGAACCATAAGCAGGATGAATCATGTACTGACCTTTGCTCCTGCACTGTTTCTAGTATGATGATGTGTTTCAAAGTGATATTGCGATGCTTTCAAAGTTTTAGAAGAACATTATAAGCATTAAAAATTAGTTTATTATTAGTTTCAGGAGGAGCTGGAGTTTTGTGTGTGTACAGAATATGCTGGTTTATAGTAGCTTGTGTGGACCCACATCTCGCATTGTGAGGACTTTCCTCCATTGGAGAGCGAAAAGGTGACATGCAAAACATTTTTGGTTTATTTTGAGGTTTTTAAAGATAAGATATACTTTATTGATCCCAATTTGGATTTGTTTTTCGTCACAGCGGCATGTAAACAAGGCATTGCACACTGAAAATAAAAAATAGTACGAAATAAACAGATATAAACATATAGACACAAAAAAGAAAATTAAACATAACTAAAAAGTTAAATATATGCAGTGACAGTGAAATATATATATATATATGTGAAGACTATATGTCAAATATATACTATATAGGGCCAATTACAGCTAACAAAATATAGAAGTAGGATATTATTAACACATTTATTTTATTTGTTTAAAGTGGACCTATCATGCTATATTTGAATAATATAGTGTAGGACCATACCTATATAAGGCATATTTATACTTTTTTTTTTTCAAAATACCAAACAGATCATGCATTTTAGCCATGCCTCTTTTCGCTCAATTTGACAATTTATAGCTCTGTTTGTGCAGGGTTGATTCAGTGAGAACAGCACCATCTACAGGCCTGGCATATGTACTACAGCGTCTCCAGCGCTTTCGAACGGCAATGGCCGTGGCTGTCTCCTCCTGATTGGTGGAGTTGGCCCAATAGCCGTAGCGCCACCGTCCTGACGTCAGGACAGTGTTCAAATCTGGATCAGTTTTTATCAGATCCGTTGCAGCCCCTTTTTTAGAAATTTGGGTATGGAGGAAAATAGAGAGGGTTGTGTTTTCTGACACTTGGTGAGTTCCCTGGAACACCGGGGACACATATTCATGTATAAAAGACGTACAGAAGTGCATTTCGCATGATAGGTCCCCTTTAAGTTTTGTATTATGGTTAGTCATTCTGATTTAAAGGCATAGAGTAAGGCTGAAATCTTCCCTAGCAAAAAATACATGTAACTCTTGTGTTAAAAAGTGTTGGTGACCATGGGGTTGACGTGCATATGTCCTCTGACTTTTATCTTTTTAAGCAGTTGATCAAACTCATATCTGCTGAAGTGTGACCAATAAATAAAAACAGAAATACTTACGAGAGCTCGGCGAAGTCGGTCATCTGGATTTTAGCCATGTGAGCGAGGATCTCCATCAGGTGGAGGCCTTCGTCCGTCTGCAGCCCACTGATGAAGAGGAAGAGAAATTATAAATTAAACAAGACTCATCCCCAAGAGTAACACTGAGCAGAGGACGGATTAAATATGTGATGTTACTTCAGAATCAGAATCAAAATCCAGTTTATTGCCATGGACGTCTAGACATACCAGGAATTTGCTTCGTAGTAGTCGTAGGTCAAAGATATAATGATTATGAAAAGAAAATGTTGAAAAAATTAAGATTTAGCATTTACAAAAAGATTAAAGTCAAGTATTAACACTAAATTTAAATATACAAAAGAAAGAAAAAAAACGTATTACAATGAATATATGACAACTGAAGTGTATTATATTATATTTTAAAGTGGAGATCTGTGCAGAAATGTGCATAATATATTAATTGTGATACTTGCGCATTAGATTAGCTTACTTATCTTAGGTTACACTCTCCTTTTCTAACAGGTAATGACTTGTAAGTGAATACATTTTTGAAGTAACCCTTCCAACCCTTGAATCACTGTTGGTAAAACTAGATTTTCTGCGTATTAGAAGTTACTAACAGCCCAGATTACAGACACAGTGTGAGTCAGTCCTCAAAGCAGCTGCTTCAGATCTGACTCCATGATCTCTGCAGATCCTACAGTATGGAGGGTTCAGATCTTTCTCACATAAAACAGCCTGTAACAGCAGGACAGAGCACAGCTTTGATACAATCTATTCAAAATCTCTTATACATGGTGCACGAATGAGACCTTAACCCGGAAATGAATCAGCATTTCAGTACTGTAGTAGTTATATTAGATGCCTGAAATAAGGTCTGTGGTAAACACAAGCTGAAGACATTTTACCATTTTGTTCTATGACATAAAATATGTCACTAAATACCTCACTGGTGAATGTCCGAAGCTTTTACGCGTCTTAAAAAGGGCGTTTGCTATCAAGTGGCTAGATTTAGGTTTAGATTTAGGTTTAGATTTAGGTTTAGATTTAGGCGTAGCTTTAGCTGACGTGTGTCTTTAGTGAATAGTTTGATCAACTATTCGAGAATACTGCTTCCTATCACTGAAGCAAAAATGACACGTGTATTCAGCAGGAATACATGCCTTTATTGAAAGTACAAATACTACTTCATTGTTAACCTTACGGGGATATCATAGTCAGGTAAAGAAGAAGATGAAGAAGTTGTATGAACTAGGAAAGCTTTGGTAAATACAACAGTTTTAACCTGTTAAGCCCCAAGCCTGTTTTTCAGGCCTCAGGCTCGAAAATGACATTCCCAGAACAAATTACCATATCTTCCCTTCTAAAAGGGGTAAATTAATAATCTTTTTTCTCAAAGCAATGATACACCTGTGAGTTGGATGTAGAAAAGTCAGAATCAATATAGAATTTTTTCATTTTTAAATAAATTCAGATTGAACATAGTAAAAAACTGTAAATTTCTGTATAGTGTCCGTCCAAAACAAAAACATTACTTATAGTGAAAACCACCCTTGAATGATGGGATGGTAGACTAAAAGCTTTAGGAATCCAAACTATAACATATAATAAGTATCCTGTATCAAGATTGATGCCAAACAAGTGACATTTGACCTTTTTAGAGAGATTTAGCAACAACAAAACACACCTTTGGGGTCATTTGGGTGTATTTTGGGTGGAAACTGAGCAATCTGGTGCCACCAAATGTTTTTAAAGCTCGATTGGATGCTACTCAATCGGATGCTGTTGGTACCTGTGCATGTGGATAGTTATGTAAATTGTAATCCCTGTAATGATGCTGTATGATGTCCTTTTTGTTGTTCTGTTTATGTTTTTATGTTTCAAGTGGAACCTACTTGAGCAGGTCTCCCTTGAAAAAGAGAGCAATGATCTCAATGGGATACACCTGGATAAATAAAGGTTTGAAATGAAATTTGCCATTTCTCTGGAACCCATTGGTCGATTTTGGTGATTGACACCTCTTTTGAACCATTAGAGCCAATAGAATCGAAGGGGAAGTTCCACATACACACACACGCTACCATTGAGGGGGGAGTGTGACGCGCAGCAAGTCGGAAATCTATGTTACGCTCTGAAAACTGACAACTGAAACCTAGGCTCAAACTAGAAAATATGAAGATGGATTATCAGGAATAATTTCAAAGTGACACAGACACATTGGATTAACCTTCAGCAGCGCTTTTATCGTTTTAATGCCATTGAACCCGCGGGGGCATTTAACAGGTTAAAAAGAAGATGAGGAAGGGAGATCATGAATCTACAAATTAAGTTAGAGTGACAATATTTGCATCATCCTTTCAGTCTCTATTATACAAAACATATCCACCAACGAACTGTCACAAGGGCAAAGAAAATCATTTCTGACCCCACCCACCCAGCTCACCATGTCTTCCAACTTCTGCCCTCAGGGAGGCGCTACAGGTCACTGTCCACCAAAACCACCCCAAAAACAGCTTCTTCCCCTTTGCAATACGGACACTAAATGGACTCTAAATAACCCCAATGAACAATCACAATCCACCACACCTTGAACTTTATGTATATATGTCATGATGTATGTCTTTGCCCTGTGCTGTGTGTTGTACTTTTTATTGTCTGTTTATTGTCTGTTGAATTCAGTGGCGAGCCGTCAGGGCCCTCTAGGCCCTCTGTGAGGGCCTAAGATATTCTAAAAAATATATTTTTTTTTTAAATATATTTTTTTTTAATATTATTTTTGTTATATTTTTCATTAGTTTTACCGAAAAAAAACTTGATTTAATTGTATTTAAAATAACATTTCCAAAGAAATAAATCCTTCGAATCTGCGTGTTCAGTCTCTGTTTGAATGTGAAGGGTTACATGAAAGAAGCTCGTCTGGCCCTCTCTGCGATTCACAGAGGGTCGCTATAGTAACTGAACGAGAGAGTAATGTCAAATGACAGTACAATTGACCAATCATATCTTCCCTCTAAATGGGTGGGTTTTATTATCGCAGACTTTATGACAAGATCCGCCCGCTGTGAAACTTTTCTTGTTTCCATAGCAACAACAACTTCCTGTCAACAGCGTGAACTCGCCTTCAAAATAAAAGCATGCCAAATTACACTTAAGACATACAACTGCAACGAAAGTAACAAACACAATGCAATATCATTTTCAATGTCAAAGAACACAAATGGGGTTCACAGGTGTTGTTTTGTGTGGTAGAGGGTCGCTGTCATTGATGCGTTTTGCACCCTGGGCCGTTGTTTTGATATTCCGCTGAAGTATACGCTGTGACGTAATAACTCTTTTTTTTTCTTTTTTTCTAGGGAATTGGTGGGGGACAGAGGGCCTAGGTATAAAGCTCACAGCTCGCCACTGCTTGAATTGTATCGAACAAGCTGTAATACTCTGCACTGAACACGAATTCCACCAGCCTGGCTGTGTGGTCATTAAAGATTCTAATCATTAAAGATTCTAATCCCATGTCCAAGAAAATAATAACAACTCATCAGAGTTATATTAAAATTGCAATAGGATGTTTTGCAATATCCATAGTTTTTTTCTCCAAATTGTGCAGCCCTAGTTTCTACCCCAAAATATAAATACTTCTTCCTCTGGTTTTTACCCATAATACCTGTGTGCATGTCAGTAGTTTTATACTCACTCTGTGAAAATGCATAATTTCCAGTCTCAAACATATGCAATGTAAAATAAATGTTCTTATCAAAATTGCAATATGAACTAAAGTGATTCAAACCATTTGAATGAAGTATTGAGCTACAAAGAAGTATTTTTGTGGTGCAGATCCTCTTGTATGTCAGTAGTTTTATACTCACTCAGTGTCGGTGATGATGTATCCGAACACGTCCTCCTTCTTCCAGCCTTCTTCCTTGACGTCCAGCTGCAGTTCGGGGACTTGAAGTGTCTTTTTGTGCGGATCGTCGTAAACCAGGGCAGCCGGAGGCGGCGCCACGTCTTTGATCCATCCGTGAACCTCCGACACTTCCTCCAACTGCTGAGCGGCGTCCTTCTTCTGCACCGTCACCCCCGCCTCGCTGGTGCGACTCTGGACGTTTTCCAGCCCCACCTGTCGTCCTCCGGGTGTTTCCATGTTCAAATTGTCCAGATTTCTGGCCGAGGGGGCGGAGCTAAAGGAGGATTTGTCCAGGTAGGCGAGGAGTTTGGTGAAGAGGTCAGGCTGGGGAAGAAGAGAGAGAAAAACAAAGAAAGGACATTTGTGAATGAGATGATTCAAAGATGCAAGGTTTTATTGTCCAGGGTTCTTCAACAATGCAACATAAATACTGTATATACAAGACAAAAACAATAAAAATAGAACCAACGTGCAATTAAATGTGTACGAAGCAAACTATATACATGTAAAATAGGATAAGATGAGAAGGTTTGTAGGTAACTGGAATTCAAAGTGTTTGTTATATCCAATTATACGGTATTGTTCAGTTGAATACTGCATTTATGAAAATTAGATTACATTTTCTGTAAAAGTTTTTTTTTAAATCACTCTCACAAGAACATGGAGTTCCTGCCAAATTCTCAGGACAGTTTCTTCACATTTTGTTCAGAAGCTGAATTTATTTTGAGAACTGGAGGCTAATTTCCCGCAATAATCATCAGCCTTGTCTCTAAAATGTAAGGTTTTTCTTAAACTAAATTAAACCTACCTTTTCCTCCATGTTCTGCTCCTCAGTATCTGTTTGGCGCTCTGTTAGGGGAAAGAGAGTCAATGTTTTAAGACATTTTAATAGTAATTAACTGATATTAAAGGTCACCTATCATGCTATTTTTAGGCAATAGCATAGGTCTCAGATATATACAAAAATATAAAAAACATGTCTATGAAGTGTTTTGGTCAAAAAAACAAACAGCTCACCCATTCTAGCCATGCCTCATATCCCTCTATTTCACTTCCTGTTTCAAAAGTGCTGATTCAGGGTATAAACAGGTCTCTCTTGAGAATGAGACCCTGTGTCTCAATGAGATGTTCACCTGTATAAATAAAGCCTAAATACATTTTTTTTTTTAAATAAAGTCTTTTTTTTTAAACTGAAAAACATACAAATAAGAGGGGGCGGAGCCTATGCCGGCTCATGCGGGACCTGGCAGATACTGTCTAAAATGCTGCGGTGATGAAACGCAAGGATTATTAGATCAAGGATTATTTCTGAAACAGTATGGAGCTCAAAGGCTTTCTCTCTTGCCGGTTATACCACAAGGTGAGTTCCTTTTTATTTCCTGCTTCTTCACACACATGCTCTCCAGTACAGGTTAGCTCTGAGTGTTAGCGATGCTAATGTAAACATGCACCGACCATATTACGTCCAAAACAGTCGGGCATTGTTTCTGATAGCAACGTTACTGATAGTGCTGTGGGTCCGCCGCCGATATTACGTCATATCGGACGCAAATCTGGATCAGCTCCGTTGTACCCCCGTTTTTAGAGATTTGGGTACGGAGGAAAAGAGAGAGGGTTTTATTTTCTGACGCTGCGTGAGTTCCCCGACACACCGGGGGACGCATATTTATGTATAAAAGACATCAAAAAGTGCATGTTGCATGATAGGTCCCCTTTAATATAAAACTGAATGAAAAATGTCATCAAAAGCCAGCTTTCCATATTTTAAGGACTTTTTCCATTTTAATATTTGAATTATGTGAATTTGCTCCTGTGGTTACTTAATTCTGCACATGTTTTATTTATTATCTATGAATTGGAAATGTTTCCGTTGCAGCAGCATGTAAAACAATGTATTAAAAAATAGACAAAAATAAACAATTATACAATATAAACATCTCAAAATAGAAGATAAAACAGAACTAAAAGAGTGAACACATAAAGATGGTTGCAGGTTTCCAATTAAACCGTGCTAAATGTTAAAGCTTTGTGTTTTTATCTAAAAAAGCTCCAAATTATTCAGGATATAATAACCTGAAAGTGCTTCTGGAAGTGTATGAATGCTCTCCAGCAATTCAGTTTTGCACAGAATATATTTTGTATTAAAATAATCTCGGTTAATTTAAAGGTGGGGTAGGTACATTATAGAAACCGGCTCGAGATACACTTTTTGTTATATTCCATGGAATGCTCTTAACATCCCGATAGCAATGAATATCTTAAAGGGGACCTATCATGCAAAATGCACTTTTGTACGTCTTTTATACATGAATATGTGTCCCCGGTGTTCCAGGGAACTCACCAAGTGTCAGAAAACACAACCCTCTATCTTTTCCTCCATACCCAAATCTCTAAAAACGGGGCTGCAACGGATCTGATACAGACTGATCCAGATTTGAACATTTCTCTGATGTCAGGACGGAGGAGCTGACCTATCAGGGGAATGAGAGGTTGCCGTGGCATGGTAACAGCATGGTAACACGACGCTCGTAACTCGGCCCCCTCCTTTGCAGGGGGGCGTGGTCAGCTGCAGCACATGCAAAGACAGGGTGGAGGAGAGCAAAATAGAGCGAAATGAGGCATGGCTAAAATGCATGATCTGTTTGGTATTTTTAAAAAGAAAACGTATAAATATACCTTATATAGGTATGGCCCTACAATATATTATTCAAATATAGCATGATAGGTCCACTTTAAGTGCTTTGACAAAAAATCCATAAAAAAATGTCATCTGTGGAAGCCGTAGTACTGTAAAAAGCACGACCAATCATTTTAGCCGGCCTGGCTAAAATAACTGGATGGCCTACCTGCCTGTCAGCCTTCCATCTGTGCACAAACTTATCTCGTGCCCTCATTGGTCATGTGCGCGTTCCTGTGTGTTGGAGGAGGGGCTCTGTAAGGAAGTGGCAGATTTTTTCCTGTTGTGTATTTTCAAATTCTAGCGCACTCGAGCCGGTTTCTCCAAAATTACCTACCCCACCTTTAAAAGATATATAAAATTATTTGTATTTTTTTATAATTTTTTTACGTTAATTTTAATGTTGTGGCAAGCGGTTTAATTGCTCTCCTGTGATATCTAGTTTTGTACATTGTATTTCTTTACTTAGCTTTGCAGAATGCTACAAGGTTATATATATATTTTTAGCCATTTTAAAGCTTTTTGATGGGAATATCATTCATTATAATACTTGGATATAAAAAGCGCATTTCAAGAAACTCAAGGACGCATCATTTTAAATATGTTGTGCAAGCATTAAAACTAGCTGTGTTTAAACAGGATGCTTTTTATTTTTCACGTTGATTTTAAAGTGTTGTGGCAAGCTGCTTTAGCGCTCTTTTGTTTCTTTAACCCTTTCTAAACAATAATGCACGAACTAAAGAGCTGCTTTTATTGCATAAAAACTCCAAATGAATTGGGATAAATCACCTTGCAGTTTAGCTGGCGCTGTGGGAAAGCTCTCCTGTTGTTTTACTGTCGGAACGTTCTCCAGCAGCTTCTCCTCTTCCTCCTCTTCCTCATCCCTGCCAGGCTCTTCTTCCTCCTCTCCCTCCAGGTCTCTGGGTCCAGGTCTCACCCGAGTCCCGCCCCGGTTTGGAGTCTGGAGTACAAATACTTTGTTACTGTACTTAAATACATGTTTCTGGTATCAGTACTTTACTCCACTTCTTATTTTTCTGAAGACTTTTTACTTTGACTTCTTACATGTTGAACACAAATACCTGTACTTTCTACTTCTTACATTTTGAACACAAATACCTGTACTTTCTACTTCTTACATGTTGAACACAAATAGCTGTACTTTCTACTTCTTACATGTTGAACACAAATACCTGTACTTTCTACTTCTTACATTTTGAACACAAATACCTGTACTTTCTACTTCTTACATGTTGAACACAAATAGCTGTACTTTCTACTTCTTACATTTTGAACACAAATACCTGTACTTTCTACTTCTTACATTTTGAACACAAATACCTGTACTTTCTACTTCTTACATTTTGAACACAAATACTTGTACTTTCTACTTCTTACATGTTGAACACAAATACCTGTACTTTCTACTTGTTACATGTTGAACCCAAATACCTGTACTTTCTACTTCTTACATGTTGAACACAAATACCTGTACTTTCTACTTCTCACATGTTGAACTCAAATACCTGTACTTTCTACTTCTCACATTTTCCAAACAGGCTGGTTCCTTTAGTTTGAATGTGTGTTTGGTGGCGTGATCATTATTATTTAGAGTCATTGCGTGCCTATTGATTTGAACACGATCCGTGTATCCATCATTTCCTGGTCTTCTCTAAAGAAGAGGGACCAATGAAAACGTTGTCATGTTGCCGTTGTTCAGCATGGAAACATTCATTAGCTAACAATGACATTATTGTTCTATTAATATAAAGGGAGGTCAGGTACTCTTTAAAACAGCTGCTAGTTATGGGTACTTTTTACTGAAGTACATTTCAAAGCCCATACTGCTTTACTTTTAAAGTAAAGAAGTTTAGTCAGTACTTCTACTTTTACCAGGGTATTTTTAAACACGAGTATCTGTACTTCTACTTGAGTAAAGGATGTGTGTACTTTTGCCATCTCTGCCTGGTCTTGGTCCTGGTTCTGGTTCTGATCTTTGTCCACCACCTGCAGAGCCTCAGTGATCAGGCGGGACAGCTGGCTCAGGTCCTGCTGCGTCAGGCCGTCTACGTCCACATGGTGCCGGCCCACGCTCTGCAGAACCTTCTGGATGAACTTCTCTGCAGGAAACATGGAGAAGAGAGAACAGACCCTTAGACACAATCCTTACCAAAATGCACACGAAATGCAATAAGTTAGAATGAAATCATGTGCTTTCAGACGTATTATGAAGTTATTACCCTATCCGATAATAATCCAATGCAGCAGAGGCAATAATGTAATATAATACATTATGTATATTTATATAGTCTTAAAGTTACAACCGGCCCTTTGAGTGCAACCATAATGCTGATGTGGGCCGCGATGAAATTGAGTTTGACACCCCTGCTTTAAACCATAAATCAACCCCAAAAGGATTAATTTATGTGAAAAAAACAATGTAATGAATTGGAAAAAGAAATGAAAGAAAGCTAACTTCTCCCTCACGTACCATCCACAGGCGTCAGAGGCTCTTTGACTGAAGCCCCCTGAGTTTTCCCATAGCAATATAATGTGTCAACTAATCAAATACAGGCAAGCCGAGAATGCATATCTGGTAGAACTCAATAAAACAAGGCCACAAACTACAGCCTAAAAATGATCAGAGTTAAAAGCACTGAAAGTAAAGCGGCTAAAAGATCAAAGTGTGCCTGAGAGCTCTACATCTTAGAAAATAATAACACATTTCAAATTAATCGAGGTGCACTTCTCCATGACAGGATGTATGATTACCTAGAAGAGCATCAGGACTGTTTGAGGCATATGATAGCTATGTGATTAACATGATGATTCAGCCTCTATGGAGATAGACATATGACAAGCATGATCATTTCTGACGTGGAGCTAATCTGAAGTAAACATTGAATACTGCTTTCTATTCCTCCATCTTGTGACTGTGTAACTCCCTCTCTTGGATATCAGCATGTGAAGGACACTGTTCAGGAACTAGTTGATGCTCTGTATGTGATGACTACTTCCATTCTGGAGAGGATCACAAATACATGGATCCTGAGATTGAAGAAAGTAATAATTGTTAGATTTAGCGAAAAATACCTAATTTTTTGATTTAGCGGAAAAAGTCCTAATTGTTTGATTTTGCAAAAAAGTCTACATTTTTTGATTTTGAAGATTGAAGCTCAAGTCGGGGACCAGTGATTATTACATTTTTTAAGTATTCAGAAAAAGTCTGAATTTTTAGATTTTGAGAAAAAGTGATAATTTTGAGAAAAAATCTGAATTTTGAGAAAAAGTCATATTTTTTTAGATTTTCTGAAAAAAGCTAACATTTCGAGGAAAAACTCAGTATTTTTTTACATGACAGGATGTCTGACATTTTTAAGTATTCAGAAAAAGTCAGAACTTTGCAGTTTTGAGAAAAAGTCAGAACTTTGAGAAAAAGTCAGAATTTTGAGATTTTCTGAAAAAAGCCAACATTTTCAGAACAAACTCAGTATTTTTTCCTTGACAGGATGTATGATTACCTACAATAACCGGTATTCCTCCATCTTGTGACTGTGTAACTCCCTCTCTTGGATATCAGCATGTGAAGGACACTGTTCAGGAACTAGTTGATGCTCTGTATGTGATGACTACTTCCATTCTGGAGAGGATCACAGATACATGGATCCTGAGATTGTAGCTCAAGCTGGTGACGAGTGATATTTTTCAAACAGTATCAAATCAAATCGAACTATTTGTATAGCCCAATATCACAAAACACGTTTGTCTCAGTGGGATTTACAAATTAAAAACAAACAAACATTGTATATGATGGAGTTACAGCAAAACGAGGAGACAAGATAGTGTGTGGAAAACAAATAGAAATAAAACAAAATAAAATAAGATACAAAAAAAGACAATTAAAACATTCAAATTAATTAACATAAAAATAATAATAAATCAAACTTCTCCATCACGCACCATCCACAGGCGTCAGAGGCTCTTTGACTGAAGCCCCCTGAGTTTTCCCCAGCTTCATCAGTCTGGATTTCGGACCCTCTGTTTCCAGGCCGGTGTTTTCTATCCCGTTGCTGTAAAAGGGCCTCAGTTTGGGGTCTCCCCGCCCGCTCTGCAGGGACAGATATTGCCTCAGGGCGCCCCGCAGGGAGTCTCCATCGGGTGGAGGCCTCTGCTGCTTCTGCACTGGTGAGAACGAGGAAGAGGAAGAGGAGGAAAAGCTGGAGGACTTCTGAGGCTTGGAGCGATAGTAGTCTGCAGCGACGCCTGACTGGAAACGATCACTCTGGAAGAAACGAGAAAACATGTGTGACATAAAGTACATTTTAAAAGCCGATAAGCACCCAAACAATAACAGACAGTTTGATATTTCCTGATTTATGTGACACTGATCTAAATGTATCCCACAGGCCATGAGACTGCTTAAGTCCTGAGCTTGCACTATTCTTATTATTAAGTTATGTCTTGTTTATATTTATATTGCATTGTTTGAGGAACATGCGACCCAAGATGTCCATTGCATTACTACAACTACACTGTAGCTGTGTATAAAACATTACAATCTTTGCATTTTTGTGGGTGGACAAGTGGTTTAATGTGAATTGCATCTAAAATAAAAGCATTAAAAACCCAAAACATCTTATAAAAACACCACAAAAAAGGTAACTTTTTACATTGTTAAATTGAATCAAAAACACTATCTTGCGATGCACTTATTACTTATTATCAGTGTGTGTGTGTGTGTGTGTGTGTGTGTGTGTGTGTGTGTGTGTGTGTGTGTGTGTGTGTGTGTGTGTGTGTGTGTGTGTGTGTGTGTGTGTGGCCTAGCATTACCATCCTTGTGGGGACCTAAATCTGTTTACACAGTCACGTGTGGGGACTCGCCCCCCTTATGGGGACATAATGGAATCATTAATTTTAGGGTGAAGACGTGGTTAGGGTTAGGGTAAGGGTTAGGCATGTGTTGGTTATTGTTATTAAGGTTAGGATAAGTCTCCTGGAAATGCATGTAAGTCAATGTAATGTCCCCTGAAGTGATGCATACATGGTATATGTGTGTGTGTGTGTGTGTGTGTGTGTGTGTGTGTGTGTGTGTGTGTGTGTGCGTGTGCGTGCGTGCGTGCGTGCGTGTGTGTAAATGTAGTTTGGATTTAAATACAGTGAGAGCATTTTAAAGCATTCGCCACATTTAGCTTCATCATGAACCACTTTAATCCAACATCTGCACAAAGTAATTATTGACATGAAAATAAGGCCTATTTTTTGGGTGAAAAACAAGTTATTAAATGCAATTATGCCATCATATTAACGGATCCATCAGCTGAACAAAAGCAGAGTCACTGCGGTTCCATTAACGCCCACCTGGGAGCACAGAGAGATTATAACAAAAACATCATAAACGGTGAAGTTCCTCACAGTCAAACTTCTTTATGATGTGTTTATGTGAGGCAACTATTTAAAATGGTCGGGATCGTTATTGTTCTATATCTTAGGGTTCGGGGACTTTATTAAAGAGCTGCATGATTTTGAAGAAAATGAAATGCGATATATACAATATACATTATTCCTTTGCCAAACATTGCACATGTAGATATTACAAATTAGATGACATTCTGATTCATCGTTCAGCCTATATTCCCCTCATGTCCACCAGAAATCATTCAGCTCTGCTCCATTTGCTCAAACACATGAACCTGCATAGAAAAGGGCCACAAGTTCAAAAAAGGGGGACACACACGGGGAGAGTTATTAATTAGAGCGTTGAACTGCTGAACTCTGCTGGTTTTATCTCCCTCATAACGATCGTGCTGCGAGAAACCATCAGTTCAGGAGGATAAGAAGAGAGCGGAGAGACAAGGAGGGATGACACCGGTACCCTGCTGTGAAGGAGTGTGTGTGTGTGTGTGTGTGTGTGTGTGTGTGTGTGTGTGTGTGTGTGTGTGTGTGTGTGTGTGTGTGTGTGTGTGTGTGTGTGTGTGTGTGTGTGTGTGTGGGTGTGTGTGAGAGTTTATATAACGGAGTGTGTACTATATACACGTGTGTGTGTTAGGCAGGTGGCAGTGAGTAGAGGGCGGGGGACATGAAGGCGTTAAAACAAACTTCCCACCTGCTCTTCCGCCGTCAAATCTTTAAAAAACGATTTATTAGGAGATTAATTCACTGGAAAACTTTAATTATTTTATAGTGGCAGAACAACAACATTATGGCAATTACATTTTACTAGGCTGTGGTGTCACTTGCAGTATAAGACTAAATGGAAAAATACTTCATTATATCCCTGTATTTAATCTACTAGCATTATAGGACCAAATCAATGTGTCTATATTTAGCAAATTCATTATATAATACACTGGATTTATTTGAAACAGTCTTGTTTACATTGCCCACGATTATTTTTAACCAGGTATATTATTATAACGTTCTTTTTAAATATACACAATTTGTTAGAGCTACTGCAGAGAATGTAAATGCCATAACATGTGTAATGCTGTAGTTTAGTTCACATGTTGACATACATTGTATTATATATTATATTAATGGTGTTGTTGGTGTCATGAAAGGCGCCTCCAAAAAATGTTGATTATTATTTATACCACTAGTTTTATCATACCTGCAGATTTTTGTATTTAACGCAATTTATATGAGTTTTTTCACTAAGTTTTTTCCAATGCAATCCCCCAACAATTTCTATAGAGCTGCCTTAATCATGGCACTGAATTATCCAGCATCCAGCAAGCAAAAAGTGTTTAATAACTGCAAGTAGAAATGTTTAATGTTTCACTCAAGTGAATGTGAGAAAGCCGTGCAGTCATCTGGTCAAGCCAAAGATGTGAAACACTATTAATGTATTGCAATGGGAATTTATAAACTCCCTCAACCCAAAAACCCATAACAGAATGATTGAATAAAAGTACATCAGAGACCCAGAAGAGACTCACCTTGCCCTGTGAGCTCAGGCTGGAGGAAGAGGATGTTTTGGGGATAAGTCCGAGGCGTTGGAGGTACGTCTGCAGGTTCCTGCTGAGCTCCAGCTGCACCGGCTTCACCCTCCGATCCGCCGGGTCCATCGCTTCAGATGAAGGTCTAAAGGGGGGAGGGGGGCATCACTTTGTTACTGGACAGCCATTTAATTACGCTTAGATTACATTGCATTATATTTAGCTGAGGTTTTGATCCAGAGCCACTTACAATAAGTGCAATAAACCATGAAAAGTCATTCAGAGTTATCCATTCTTTGTGTGCGCTCTTTCATTGCTTTATAAAGATATTGCCATCATATTCTCATAACCAGCTCCACACAAGGATGTTTATTAACCAAAAAGGCAACTGTATGAATCGGTTTCTGTTCGTTTTTTTTACATTGATAAATCATCAACTACACATTTTAGCTCTTTTGATTGGCTCTCTTGACATTGACACTGTTTGAATTTGATACACAGCCAGCTTTGTCTGCATCAAAGGTATCCCAGCATGCTTTGTGCAGCAAATCAGTCACTTCCTGTTCACACACTGAATGGTGTCCACATATCTTTGAAGCTCAGATCTACTAAGGATATATATTTTACCTGCTGTCTGTGTTGTAGACGGCTCCGTTCTGCTGCGTTCTGAAGGGAACCCTCCTCAGTTTGGAAAGCTCTTTAGACAGAACCTGCTGAGTGGTGTCATCTCCCCAGGTCAGACCTGCAGACACACACACAGAACCTTAAAAACCACATAGTAAACACAGAACCTTAAGAACCACATCGTAAACAAAGTAACTCAAGAACCATATCATAAACAGAGTACTTTAGGAACCACACCGTCAACAAAGTACCTTAACAACCACACTGTCAACAAAGTACCGTAAGAACCACACTGTCAACAAAGTACCTTAGCAACCACACTGTCAACAAAGTACCGTAAGAACCACACCGTCACCAAAGTACCTTAGCAACCACACTGTCAACAAAGTACCGTAAGAACCACACCGTCAACAAAGTACCTTAGCAACCACACTGTCAACAAAGTACCTTAAGAACCACACCGTCAGCAAAGTCCCTTAGCAACCACACTGTCAACAAAGTACCGTAAGAACCACACCGTCAACAAAGTACCTTAGCAACCACACTGTCAACAAAGTACCGTAAGAACCACACCGTCAACAAAGTACCTTAGCAACCACACTGTCAACAAAGTACCTTAAGAACCACACCGTCAGCAAAGTCCCTTAGCAACCACACTGTCAACAAAGTACCGTAAAAACCACACCGTCAACAAAGTACCTTAGCAACCACACTGTCAACAAAGTACCGTAAGAACCACACCGTCAACAAAGTACCTTAGCAACCACACTGTCAACAAAGTACCGTAAGAACCACACTGTCAACAAAGTACCTTAAGAACCACATCATAAACAAAGTACCTTAAGAACCACATCGTCAACAAAGTAACTTAAGAACCACATCATGAACACAGAACCTTAAGAACCACATCGTCAACAAAGTACTTTAAGAACCACATCAAACACAGAACCTTAAGAACCTTAAGAACTACATCATAAACACAGAACCTTAAGAACCACATCAAACACAGAGGAACTGCATTATTTCTTCTGGTCCCAGACAGAAACATGGATCTTCACTGCGATGCTTAGTGAGTTTGACCCGGCTGAGTTGCAGTAAGTATGGCGGAGAAAGAAGGAACTCAAAATGCTGAGCGTGCCGTTATCCTCCTAAAACTCATCAGGTCGCTCATTAGCGGAGGAGACTCTGATGAGAGTTTCAGTGACTCAGCACAAATTATTTCTCTCTCCTGCTGCAACATTTGAGGGAATAAAACATCAACACTAGACACTGTACCACACAAATATGTAGTATTAAGTTTGTAGAATAACCGTTTTTAGACAAGGTCTTCTTCACAATACTTCATGCAGGTGTTTTCACAGATGTTGCCTTGCCAAGTACAATTTGGATAATGCACCATAGTGCGATTTCAATTAATTGTGCAGATATAGATGCAGTTTGAAGGAAAATACTCAACGTTTGCTCCACTTTGTGTCATCTGCAGTGCCTGAAATGAGCTTCTATGGCTAAATCTGGCACACTTACATGATGGACTTTAATGCTCATTTTAATTAACGTGCATTGTTTCCTTCTTGAACACCCAATGTTACAAACATCGTTGGTTGCATTTGTGAAATCCCCTATCCTTTGATGTAAATTATCATATTATTTATCACAGACAAAAAATACTTGTCTTCTCCTCAAAACAAACTGATGAGCAATTTGGGCATCTGTGTCTCTTTTCATCTGGGTACTACCGAATCTCAGCATCTTATGCAAATGAAGGGTATCAGCATCAGTGACGAAGCATTTCTTTTTTTCATCCACCTCTTCTGCATTTCAGCAAGAGTACAAAAGGACGTGTTTGATGAGCAGCTTGGGCTTCCCCGTCTGTTTCTCGTGTTCAACATGCATCCAAACACAGATTTCTGGCAGCCGAACAGAGGAGACGGACCGGCAGCAGATGGGCTAGCGGAACGAAACGTTACCGGAAATTATGGACGAGCCAAAAATGCACAACACGAACCGAGGCGTCCGGCAGATGAGGGAAGATGTTCCTGAAAGATTCTTGTTATGCAGACTGCAGATCCAGGTGTGATGCTACAATTCAATTCAAGGCTTTATTGTCATTTGCACATTAGCTACAGTGTAGATATGGCTATAAAAAACTTAAGTCACAGGCTCCTCCAACAGTGCAACATATATATAGGACATTGAACAAATAAAAATAGACATAGTGCAAGAAGAGTCTATACATCAGATACAAGGTCCAGAATGGAGGACATACTCTAAAACACAAGGAGAACAAAACTGCTGTCAGCTGTAGAGCCTGTAGCTAAAGTTTAAAGGACCTTAAAACAGAAAACGCTTTCATAGTTTAAGGCATAATCCAAGCATGACAAGACAAGAAGGATAATGACTTAAGAAAAAAGAGGACTGTTGCAGCGTTGATGAGCAGAAGGTAAAACTAACAACGCCAGAACAGAGAATCAAGACTGCCGGGAAAGCACACAAAGATAGGAAGTAAAAACCGACTTGACAAAGATTCAAACAACTTCAAAACGATAGAAACAAGTCCAAATTTCAACAGTAGCTTTCCTATCTGTTTTAAGACTTATAATAATGTCTCCAATACCGAATACTATGACTGTTGTCCTGTACGTTAAATGTAAGAAGTATGCATGTGTTAATTTGACATGCAAGAACTGCAACGTTAATGATGATAAACTAAACCCATTTTTATAAAAAATGCATAATTTTGCATGCATTTTCTATCATGAATGTGTAAAACATTCATGATAGAAAATGCAAATGTTGCCAAATTATGTATTTTAGTAAGTAAGCACACAAATGCAATAAAAACGCACGTTAAAAAGTAGTTTCTCAGTATCTGAAATAGGCAAAACTGTCTTAAAGGGGACCTATCATGCAAAATGCACTTTTGTACGTCTTTTCTACATGAATATGTGTCCCCGGTGTTCCAGGGAACTCACCAAGTGTCAGAAAACACAACCCTCTCTATTTTCCTCCATACCCAAATCTCTAAAAAAGGGGCTGCAACGGATCTGATAAAAACTGATCCAGATTTGAACACTGTCCTGACGTCAGGACGGTGGCGCTACGGCTATTGGGCCAACTCCACCAATCAGGAGGAGACAGCCACGGCCATTGCCGTTCGAAAGCGCTGGAGACGCTGTAGTACATATGCCAGGCCTGTAGGTGGTGCTGTTCTCACTGAATCTGCCCTTGCTAAAACAGAGCTAAAAAATGTCAAATTGAGCAAAATGAGGCATGGCTAAAATGCATGATCTGTTTGGTATTTTGAAATAAAAAAAGTATAAATATGCCTTATATAGGTATGGTCCTACACTATATTATTCAAATATAGCATGATAGGTCCACTTTAAATTAGAGGAAAATAATGTAAAGATTTTCGCAATTTTCCAGCCAGGTACATACAGTTTATAGTCAAACCTCAATAATAACCTTTAGATTATTCGTCCACCGAGGAATAAACAAGTCTCCTGACGTGTGTTCAGACTGAAAGCAGAGCAAGTTTTATAAGTGGAGACTTGCATGCAAAGGGAGAGGATGCAAATGTGCCTGGAGGAGCAGGAATTCAACCAAAAAGTGTTGAAAATGTTTCAGTTTGAGTAAAAAGTGGAAGCTTATCCGGAGGCGTTTAAAAGTCTGAGACAAGAGGAGAGAAACTGGAGATAAATAACAAAGCGAAGTGAAGTTCTGAGTTCAGTCGAAGTTTACGCTGTCACATAAACACAGGTCCAACCATCACTGTTTTACCAACTCCTGAGGGAACTATTGTTGAAGACTTTAGCCACTTTTGTCAGCAGTTATTCTTGAGTATTAACTTTACTCTTAAGGAGGTTTAACTTTTTAAAAAGCTGCCTTGTTTTAGTATGAGGGGAAACACTAACTTCAAAAGCATGAACATCAATTGATCTGCCTTACAAAAAATGTCAAGTTTTGATAAGGTAAATACAGAGATGCCACAAAAAAACGGTCCAACTCTCGTCCCTTAAAGGTTTGATTTCCAGAATGAGACACTTCTGTAGCCACATCTACTCTTCTGCACTAATTAAATCAGCCCGATTTGTTGGAGTACACTTCACCTTCTTTAGCCTCGCTGCGAAATAAATTACGACCCCAACCACCAGGAACAAGAAGCTTCTCTCTCCAGCAGCTGCACAGTGAGTCAGGCCAAGCTTTCCCCATCACAGAGCGATGAAGCAGAGACTGTAATGGCAGCAATCGGATGTTAGCGGCGGGTGAACAGACGGTATTTGACACCACAGGTTAACAAATGCCAAGCCCCAGGATATCCAGAGCCACAGAATAAACCCAACACAGAGATGTGTGGAAGAGGCCGATAGCGCTCAGAAGGATAGTGCTTCTAGATCTTAAAGACGCCCTATTGGGCTTTAAAGGTCACCTATTATGTAAAATCCATTTCTTCATGTCTCTTCTACATCAACATGTGTCCCCTCTGTGTAAAGAGATTCTGCACGTTTCAGGAACAAAGATTCTCTCTCTTTTTGTCCTGATCCATTTATATAAAAACCTGTCTGAAAATGAGCTGATCAGATTTCGGCCACTTTATGATGTCATAACGATGTGTTGGCTTGTGTAACCATTAGCCAATCACCAACCAAGGTAACCCCCCCCCCCCCCCTTATCACCTGAATCTCCTCCTAGAGCACCATTGTGTTCTTTTTAACCAAATCTCTCTCAGAGGGGCGTGGGGAGGGGCTCCTTATTTTCATCTAAAGTAACAGCCAGAGAATCAGCACTTTTTGCAAAGGCTAAAAAGTGTTCCCTCTGTGATGGAAACTTCTGAAGCAATGGAGACTCAGAGAGGCACGGGGATAGCTGGAACTTTGATGGCAAACACTGATGGTTTATTTGGAGCTTCGGCAGGAGAATTCACAAGACATGTGCTTAAGATCTCTACCCCAGACCCATGTATTTAGGTCGTTCTAAGAGAATAATCAACATTGTGCATAACAAGATAAAGCACTATAACCTCTATCAGCTGACGCCAACAGGCAGGAATAGGAAGACAAAACACTGACAGCAAAAACTGATAAACTGGGACAAAGTTATGGGCCTAGGAAGATATTTCCCCAACACCAACGATCAGTGGAAGTAGAAGGAAAATAGCGTTCAGAAGGATAATGCTTCTAGATCTTGATGGGTACCGTATTATGCTTTTAGGGGGTTACCCCTTTCCTGTAGTGTTTTCTATAGGTTTTTGTGCATGTCAATGGTCTGCAAAGGCTGAAATCCCTGTGTTCCATTCACACATGCATGAGGGAGAAACTCCTAACAAAATAAGCGTTGTACTTCTTGACATGATCCTCTCTTAAGCAGGTTGATAAACTCTAGAGCGGGACAGGGTGGATGTCCCTGCATGATGAAAGTGTGTGAAATGAAAGCAATGAGCTGTTTCACAGGTGACTGCCTCCCTCTAGTGGTACAGAACAATAAAGGGGACTTTCTTACTCCAGCAAAACATCAGCTGATCATAAATCATGTCCACACAGGTTACAAAAATATACATTTAAATAGAATTTGAACAATATTTCACATTTATTCCACGCTCAATGCTCACTAAGGCTAATGGTGTTGCTTCTGTGTTAACCACCATGCACTCTGACATTACTGTGCATACTTTTCTACATTATATGCAAACCACCACCTGTTCATGTTTTTATGAACCACACTCTGTGATTATGGAGCTGTTTATATTGAATATGCAGCTTTTGTTATGATTGCATCATAGACTTTTATATGCAGTCTCTGTACTTTTTTTATTGAAAATTCTGTAAGGCGAGTTCTCCAGAAAAACTCTCATCTTGTATTCCTCTAATTCAGCAATTTGTGGGATAGATTACGGGGGTTTTGTACGTTTGTAGTGGTTTAGAATTGGTAAACGGTGCATAAGTAGGTAAAGTGTGTCGCAAAAGTAAAACATATCAAAATACAAGATACTTAAGGTGAAATGTGAACGATTTAAGATGTAATTTGGACTTTTAATGGTTAAAAAACAGGGACATTATTTTAAATAAACCTGGATTACCCTTAAATCTTTTATAAACACATTTTTAGATTGTGTCATGAATGCATTATTGCTGTGAGAGCAACAGAAGTGATAAAGTACAGCTACCAAAAACAACCCTTAAGAAATGATATCGAGCATTTTACTAATTACTGAGATTTTAATTCAAAAGGTTAAATAAAATAAACTGAGGCTGTTTTTCAAATGGAGGTTTCCTGCTGTTGTTTTCGTGCACCTTTAGATTTCTGACATGAATATCCAAGACACGCCTTGTTTGTTTCTTGCACATCTTTTTATTTATATACATTTCTGATTACATGTTTACTACAACCACACAATAAATCAATCCATCTTATTCCTTATTGATTAATGGCGCGTTTCCACTACACGGCCTCGCTCGGCCCCGCTCGGTATGGCTGGGCCTCGTTAGGACTGGCTCACTTTATGGCGCATTTCCATTACAGTTTAGGAACTGGGGCAGTATCTATAGTAACGCAGTGTAGGCGGAGCCGTGACGTGATCTTCAGAGAACCCCAGGAAAACAACACAGCCGTTAGCTGTTAGCACTCAGAGCTCACAGCTCCTCATATATGCTCAGAAACTAGACAAAAGTTAAACAAGTACAAACCACAGACTGCCTGTGTCATGGTGAATACAGTCGCTGCTTTATTTATGTCTGTATAGGCCGTTGTTGTGAGTGTGGACGGTCGGAGCATATACTGCGTTAGCTTAGCCAATCTCCATTTAGAACACACGCATTTTAAAAGGTTTTTCGCCTGCCGTCTGTCTGCAGACTTGACAAAGCATTAATTCATGGTTTTTACTAACCGGTATCAGTATGTTGTTACTTCGGCATCATTTAGAAACGTGTATTACAATTAAATCACGGTCAAATATGTCCATCTTGTTGTAGTTGTAGCCCCCTTGCCAGCGATGCTCTCTCTAGTTTAGCATACTCAGCCCGACTCAGCCTCGTTGTCTCTGGCCCTAGACCCGCGATTTTATGAGGCCAGAAAAACTGTGAATTAGGACCCACCGGCCGGTACTAGGCCAAGTGGAAACGCAACCAAAGACGGGCCGCTGACGTCACAGCCCTCTTAAACCGGGCTGCGGGCTGTAGTGGAAACGCGCCATAATATAGCAATAAATTACACTGCATTGCATTACAGTTCAAAAGATTGAAAGAGTATTCACATATATCATTTTACACGTCCTTTCCTACATCAGCAGGAGAGGACTCTTTAAAGTAGAGACACTACATACTGATATACACCTGAACATCAGCAGGAGAGGACTCTTTAAAGTAGAGACACTACATACTGATATACACCTGAACATCAGCAGGAGAGGACTCTTTAAAGTAGAGACACTACATACTGATATACACCTGAACATCAGCAGGAGAGGACTCTTTAAAGTAGATACTGATATACGCCTGGACATCAGCAGGAGAGGACTCTTTAAAGCAGAGACACAAAATACTGATATACACCTGAACATCAGCAGGAGAGGACTCTTTAAAGTAGAGACACTACATACTGATATACACCTGAACATCAGCAGGAGAGGACTCTTTAAAGTAGAGACACTACATACTGATATACACCTGAACATCAGAGGACTCTTTAAAGTAGAGACACTACATACTGATATACACCTGGACATCAGCAGGAGAGGACTCTTTAAAGTAGAGACAATACATACTGATATACACCTGAACATCAGCAGGAGAGGACTCTTTAAAGTAGAGACACTACATACTGATATACACCTGAACATCAGCAGTAGAGGACTCTTTAAAGTAGAGACACTACATACTGATATTACATTACATTTTTTTACATTACATGTTACTTGTTAGACGCTTGTATCCAAAGCGACTTACATACTCAATACTGTGGGCAATCCCCACAGGAGCAATTTGGGGTGAAGTGTCTTGCCCAGGGACACAACGACATGCTGACTGCAGTGGGGTTTGAACCTGTGCCCCCCTGATCCGAACACCAACGCACTAGTTGTGCCACAGCCTCCCTGATATACACCTGAAAATGATAATATGTCCTCTTTTATTGACCATTTACAATGATGGTTCCTATGAAGTCCTGCCTACTTCAGCTCACACACTGTGGCGTTGTCTCCGTTGGAAAAGTGAAGGGCGAGACCAGCGTAGAGCGGCTGAGTGAAAGTGGTCTGCACTTTGTGGATGAACTTCATGGTTTCCCCCACGTCGTAAAACGACAGAACTCCAGCCTTATGATCCAGGAACACTCCCACTTTGTAAGACGACTTAACCGAGATTGGCGTGTGGATATCGTCATGTCTGAATTCAAATTTAGAATGACAATATAACGCCCAAGACTTCTTGTTGTACCCAAATGCACAGTCTTTAGAGGTATTATGTCTTTTCATATCCTTGTATGCTACAGCTACTGTTAATAGTGCATCATACTCCACCTCGAAGTAACAACGTCCAGTCAGACTCTCTCTACTCAGGACCTGATGTAAACCGTTGAATCTGTCTCGGGATGGCAAAAACATTTCCAATAAAGGAGTTGTTGTTACTTTGCGGTACCTCTCAGAAAACAACATTATGCTAGTGTTTGATGAGTTTGGATCCAGCGTGATTTGACTTGCATACAGTAAGAACTCCTCTCTGGTCCTCAGTTGTTGCGACAGAAAAGCATCCACTTCAGTGACTGTCCGTAAAATCTTCGGCCACTTCTCCATCAGAACTTCCTGCAGTTTATCTCGGACTTCTGACACAGCTGTTGTCACGTCCTCAAAGTACTGCAGAGGACGGATTTTAGGGCTGGGTAACTCTGAGGATTCACCGAGAGGTGAGACTGAGGAGAATTTTTGTAGAAACTGGGTGTAATCGTCTGTTTGTTGAAGTAGCTCCAGCTCAGAGTCTTTCTTCTTCAGCTCAGCCATCTCCTGCTCCAGCTTCTTCTGAAACTCTTTGACTCGACGCACTTCACTTTCCTGCTGAGATTTAACCTTCTGCTTCACATCAGAGCTTTTTTTCTGGATGAAGCGGATCAGTTCGATGAAGATCTTCTCACTGTCCTTCACATCTTTATTAGCAGAGCGATTGATGCCATCCACCTCCTGCTGAAGCTGCTTCATAACTTTCCTGCTGCTGTGGATTCTCTGCTGGATGTTTTGTCGTCTCACCTTGATCTCTTTCTGCCTCTCAGTCCTTTCTGCTGCAGCTGACACTGTGTCGTGGCCTTTGTGTTCGTCCACAGAGCAGAGATAACAGATACACTGCTGATCAGTGCGGCAGAACATCTTCATCACCTCGTCGTGACGAGAGCAGATGTTCTCCTGGAGCTTCTTGGAGGGCTCCACCAGCTTGTGTTTTTTAAAGGCAGGCAATTCATAATGAGGCTGGAGGTGTTTGTCACAATAAGAGATCAAACACTGCAGACAGGACTTACAGGCTCTCAGTTTTCTCCCAGTGCAGACATCACAGGCCACATCTTCAGCTCCAGCATAGCAGTGATCAGCAGGAGCTTCTTCAAGCACAGTCTTCTTCAGCTCCTCCACTAAATCTGCCAACATGGTGTTTTTCAGCAGGACAGGCCTTGGTGTGAAGCTCTTTCTACACTGAGGGCAGCTGTAGACTTCCTTCTCATCCTCTTTATCCCAGTGGGTTTTAATACAGTCCATGCAGTAACTGTGTCCACAGGAAGTCGTCACCGGACCCTTCAGTAGATCCAGACAGATCGAACAAGAGAAAGTTTCCCGGTCCAGCTGAACTCCTTTCTGCGCCATTTCACCTCTCAGTGACAGCGAGTGTCTTGAGTTTCACTTCCTGAGGGCTGAAACTAGTGTGAGTGTGATCTGATCATGTGATTTTGCAGTGAATAGGGCCTGTCAGCTCATGCACTGGTTACACCCATCAGGAAGTATGACGCAATTGATAAGGGGGGAGTGTGTGTAGATAGACAATCCGTTCCAAGGTCCACTCTCACTGCTTCCTTCAGTAAATGTGAGAGTTTTCAGGCTGATCAAACTGTGAAAACACAAGGTCACAATGAGACACAATGAGGATCTCTCGCTGACTTAATGAGAGATTTGTGCAAGTAAATTAAGGAAATTGAACTTAACACAGCAGCAAGCACTTTGTCCAGTCATGCTTGGAAGATCTACTACAACTACAGCATATAGGCTGTAGTTGTAATAGATCTTCTTCTACATGTCATTTGAACATCCTTTGCAGGAGACAGTGCAAAGATCTATGTTGTTTTAGTTAAAATATGCATGAATATTTGTTCCCACTTATATTGCAACTGCGTCACAGCTATTTCTAAATATATACCATTGTATCTTATCTTATCTTTCCAGTCAGGCTGTTGTGCGATAAGCAGAGTTGCAAAGTACATTTACTCAAGTATTGTAGCTCGGTAGTTTATCAACATATTTATACTTTACCTGAGTATTTCCATTTAATGCTACTTTATACTTACAGTCCACTACATTTCAGAAGCAGATATGTACTATTGTTCCTCCAGTACATTGATTTTACTTTGTGCATAAACACATGACATGATGATAGGGTATCAGGAAAAACTTTACTACCAATCCACACAGTATGCAAATGTTGTCCAATTTGACCAAAGACTAAATGTTCTTACATGTATAAATAACTGGATAATATAATAACCATCATGTGTCTGTATTTTTGTATATGTACTGTAGTATATGTAATGTTATACAACTGTCTGTGTGTTTTATAATTTGTATATTTATGTTTTAGGACACTCTTGAGAATGAGATGCTACATCTCAACAGGCTATACCTTCGAAAAATAAATAAATAATAATAAAATACTTTGAAAACATCCATTCTGCATATCGAGTGATATACCTGATGGTACTTTTGTACTACCAATGTGCAGAATGAGTATTTTTACTTCTTAAACTATAAGTATATTTTGATGGTAATACTTTGTACTTTCCCTTAAAGGGCCCATGTCATGGCCATTTCCACTGATCATAATTACATTGTTGAGGTATACTAAAATAGATTTATACTGTGCAATTTTCCAAACTGTGTCAAGTATGTGTATTCAGCAGTATTCACTCTCTCCACTAAACGACTCGTTGGAGCTCTTGTCCCCCCCTCCCTGTGAGCCTAGTGTGCTCCGATTGGTCAGCTCGGCCACTCTGTTCTGATTAGTCAACCACCAGAGAGGCTCCGCCCATGTCTAACAGTGCTTTTTCCGGCTGCTCTCAGCGGAACATCAGTCTTATAATGGCGTCGGTACAGCCGTATATTTTATACGCTAACTAACCGAACTGTACCTACAACTGTTGTTATAGAAGAGTGTGACGGCCCCAGGGCCTTTGTCTTACGATGGGGTGGAGCTGAAGAGGCTAATCAGCGCGATCACGGACACCTGGCCGGAGCCGAGGTGCTAGCCAGCTGCCCGGAGTCACACGGCGGCCCCTCTCTCTCTCCAAAGCGGCTCAGCGATCCTCTCCCCTCGACCACCTATCTCTGCATTTACCACAATAAATGTGCCGTGGTTTTGTAAACTTGTGTATGTCTCCTTGTCTTTCCGTTGTGGCCTACGAGCCGGTCATAACAAAGAGTAAGTTATTTTTACCTGTTATAAACTACTACTGTTTGATGAGAAATCAAATCATGGTTTGCTATATATGAATGATATGTTATAGGCAGGGGTGCACATAACTGGTACGCAGGTACGCATGCGCGGCACAAATCTGAATTGCGTAACGTCACTTGTGTCACTACGCGCCTTTGCGTACCTCAAAACATCAAAACAAAACACATATTTCGTCTACACGTGTTTCTTGTCAACACTCAATGGAGTAAACTACTAGGCATGTCAAAAAACCCAAAGACATTAAGCAGCTACATTGCCGTTTCGCTCCCTGCAAAAAATCTTTCTATGACTGATTGAACTGGAGCTGGGTGAGCCGCGCAGGACATAACCGACGGACCTGTGAAGCTTTCCAGGAGGCAGAGGCTTAGATCACTGGACGACAGAGTTGGTCGCCGTGTGCACAGACAGGGTTAACGTCGGTATAAACAACAGAATTGTGCCAAAAGTCCGCCAACTGGCTGCGGTGGGAGACTCCCCTGTGCACATTCTGTGCCCCGCGCACACACTGGAGAACTGCGCAAAATCATCTGATCACAACGTTCACGCTCTGTGGTCAAGCTGCTGCAGTTTTATTTACACCAAAGTGGAGTGAAACACACAGCTGCAAACTTACTCAGGGTGTTATGGAAGAGTTTGAAATCAGACAGAGGTGGAAGAAGTACTCAGATCTTGTGTAGGAATACTCAGTTACAGTAAAAGTCCTGCATTCAAAATGTTACTCAAGTAAAATTAGAAAAGTATTATCAAAATATAGTGAAAGTAGCAACAGTAAAAGTATTCATTGTGCAGATTGGTCCATTTCAGAATAATATATATGATATGTTTTATAATGATTGATCATGAAAGTGTTCTCAAAGCTGGTAAAGGAGCAGCTAGTTTGAATGACTTTGTATACTGCAGGGTAGCTTGTGAATTTACTCCAGGTGGAACTAAAGTCTGATTTAACACTTGATTAGATTTCACATCATTCATCCACATCTGTAAAGTAACTAAAGGTATTAAATACATGTAGTGGAGTAAAAGTAGAAGTACAAAGTAGCATAAAATAGAAATACTCAAGTCAACTACAAGTATCTCAAAATTGTACTTGAGTAAATAAGTGTGCTTTGTTACTTCCCACATTTGAAATCAGATATGACTTCAAGTCATGTGATCATTTCTTAGTATTTGATCCTTCAACTTGGCCTCAGGAAATGCAAGGACTTCACAGTTTTGGCAACAAGTTTTGGAGAAAGCAAATCGGAGGCTTAAAAAGAGACAGGGAGGTGCATCTTCATCATCTTCATCATCTAGCATGCAAGAAGTGTAAATTGAGGACAGTGAAGGAGACACTGAGGAGGACCACGCTTCGTGTGGGGTGAGTACCAAACGCTGTCTCTTGGTACTCATCTGAGTAACTCACTAAAAAAGTTATGTGCACCCCTGGTTATAGGAGCAAATAATTCAGGGAAGAAAGGATAGGCCTACTAAGTATTTCCATTAAACTTTATTTTTAGAAATGTACAAAATGAACGTAAATATACAAAAATACACGGTATATCGTCAATTACTCCCCGTTGTCGGCATCTTGCCTATAGCAGCCGGGGCTTTTTAGGACGATGCATCAGTGTGGTAGTTCCGTCATGTATTGTCCGGCAGGATCTGGCTGGACGAAATCAAATGCAAATCACAAAATATTAGAGAAACTTAGTTGTTTTAGATTCGTTAGTAGTAGTTGTGGTAGGAGTGTGGATCTATCTAATCAATCTAATGAACAGCTTGCCAGCTAATATGCTAACCTAGCTTTGTTTACCTTGGTAGCTAACACGATATGAACGTTAGCTCGGAGGAACGGCAACTATAATGTAGAGTAATAAAACTACTATGAACAAAAGCTAGTGGTTCATATTAGGCTAGCAATAACGTGTTTATAATTGCAATCTTATACGGGTAGTCTGCTACGTTCGGTCATACAATGTTTCCCGCTAGCATGTGTAGCTAGCCTCGTTAGCTATACATGCTATCAGTCCTTTGGGGGTCTGTGAGCGGGCAAAGAGAGGGGATTTTCTCCGAGTTAATATGAACGTTAGCTCCGAGGAACGGCAACTATAATGTGTAATAAAACTACTATGAACAAAAGCTAGTGGTTCATATTAGGCTAGCAATAACATGTTTATAATTGCAATCTTATTAGGGTAGTCTGCTACGTTCGCCCGGAGTATACTGTCTATGAGTATTTGGTGTGTGAATGCAGACATTCTCCTGCTATGAGATACATGTATGTAAGGCCATCTGCTGATATTAGAGTTGATATGGAAACGCTAGCAACTTAGTTAGCACAGTTAGCACTGGCTTAGCAGTCCGAAACATGTTTACACATTTAAACAGTCGTGGTAGATACCTTGTTTGATAAATACACAAATAACAATGCAAACGTACAGGTTGTGTACCAGAATCTTCCCCTGCTCCAAACGGTCCAAACAAACTAGGAATAGCATCGTCCTTCAGTTTCAAATGCTGTGCATATCCGGCCTCAAACTGGGCAATGTTTTGGAAGCTTTCGTCTGTGAAATGCCGGTTCTTCGAACCTCTGAAGGAACAGTGTTAAAAAGACATTTCAACCACTGACTTTGTCGTGGTTCTTCCGTCGGTAGGACAAACAGCTCAGATTTCTCCTCACATTTCAGGAAACAGGTCCTTGGCAGTGGCATGACTGGATCGATTGTGAACTGAACCAGAGCTTCCAACAGTAAATGTTAGGCTGGCAGAGGGTGCGGCCAGCGCCGCTGGGTGTGGCCATAGCTCTTCGGGATTGGTCCATTTCGTTCCGGGTACTGCATGACATCAGGCGGTACCCGGAAGAATCAAATGGGCAGTGACGTATCTCCAACGAGGCGTTTTGGGGAGGTATTTTCTGTGTTAGAGTTTTACTCGCTACAGGGTGTACTTTGAGGGTTTTGACTCTGCACACCGTTTACATGCATAAAAACCTTCATAACACACAAGGGGACGGGTAATAACCGGAAAAGCATGACATGGGAGCTTTAAGTAAATTCTTTTAAATCAGGTCCTTTACTTGTAATTATTTATTTTAGAACCATAATACTTGTACTTTTATTTAATTAAAGGATCTGAGTACTTCTTCCAACACTGGCAATAAGCTATGGTTTTATAACTAAGTGCAATAAAACATTTACAAGGTTGTTGGGAAACTTGTTCACACCCACTAAACTTTGGATCCAGATTACAATCATGATACTGGGTGCAGGGGAACCAGGTTGAATAAGAGGATTACAAATAGAACATAATAATTTGGATTAGTAATCATTTTTTGCCTTTTCACTTGTCTTTGAGATAGAAAAATAAAATAAAAACAATGGATAAATCCTGACACAGTTTTCATG